ACTCGTGCTGCTACACCGGCGGCCAGTGTCGAAGCTGTATCGGGACTGGGCCCTACTGCAGCTCCTGAAAATGCTCAATGACACGCATAACAGGAATTCTAGCATAGAATCATCATACCCATATTCATGATGACAATTTCGTCGTCCCCAGGTGAAACCGCCGGATCCGCCATCTGTATCTTCTTAACGTTCGCAACCTATTTCGAAGCCTGAGTGGTTGCTCTGTGATCCTTGGGAGGTGCTCACTCTGCTGTGTGGTTGACTAATGCATTTGGCCATGGTATTCCGGACATCCACTTCGAATATTCCAACGCCAAGAAGCCGGAGAATCGATCCAATCGTATCCGCAGAAAGGACGTCCCTATCAATATACTTTTCCCATGATTCCATGCATTCTTCGCCGACTCACCGTGGGAGACGAGCCGACTTCGAAGAGTTTATATTAGCAAAGTGAAAATTGGTGATGGCCCGATCGATATCAGCACCAAATGGTAGAGTGAATTGGCTGCTTCCAAGAGGTAGTATCTAAACGAACATAATATCTCGAGATAAATACACAACCGTCGACGCAAAGCACGCAGCGCCCCTTCTATAGGAGAAATTACTGTAATGTTATTACTGAGGTGAAAGCCTGAATAGCGGCATCTACTTCCGCAGGACCCATCGCGAGATACTTCTTGTAGTCTTTCAATGCTCGTGAATTATGCCTGCCGTGGAATCACGAATCATGCTACCGAAGAATGCAGCAAGCATCCAGGGAGAGTTCGACATGCGGCAGGAATGCTGTCACATCGACTTACTTCTGAATCTGTTTGTCAAGCCAACGCGAGAGAACACTCTTCCCAGTGGTATGCAACACAAAGAACTCCCGATCAGCCTCATCTGCGTACTCCTTACAGGCGGGTATCTACAGCTGCCAATTCTCAGGTAGCTCGGGTTTCTCGACCCTCGTAGTGAGCATGCACGCAAACATGAGTAATACGAACTTCGAACAATCTGGTGCAAGCCCACCCCGCGTGATATCTGCAACTTACGTTCGATGCCTCGCGAATCGTAAGAGCCAGCACAGTCATGAAATCCTCTTTCAATGAAGCGTCTGGAATATCCTGAAATAGGACAATATCACCTTCGAAGCCACAGCTGATATTACCTTATATAGCTTGAGTATAGGACTATTGGCAGCATCTGTTAGAGAAATGTTGACGTCGGTTGGATTCCGAGTATTCGGGGGAGCTCTGCGAAACAACAATTGAGAGTTTGATCGTTAAACTCGTTCAACATTGGACGCGTGCTGGGCGGTAAGAGAAACAGCCATAGACTCACCTAAGCCATTCCTCCAGGGAATCAATCGTCCCATTAACTCGCTCAACCAAGACGCTATTGACCATCGGACAGCCATGGACCAATTCTTTACGATGGGAGTCCGAGG